TGCTGTTGGATATTTTCTTTTCATTTGATAAAAATCCTCCAAAAGCTGCAATGGTGGATAAGGACCAGTTGCTAAAGGAAAACAAAGCACAGCCTCAAGACTGCAAAAGCTATGTGAAGGTTGGGCAAGCACAGGAGCAAAACCATGCATGAAAAATTTGTCTTTGAGCAAAATCAGGCTGTGGCCTGGCTGAAGAGATGCCAGCCAGTCCGTCTGAGCTCCAGGCCAGTTCTGCAGACACTGACCTTTTTGTACTGAAAATCAGAAGTGGAGGGTGACTGGCATTGCATCAAGTAAGATGGCAGATGTCTCACATGAAGGCGGTAGCAATCAGTGACTGCATTTGAACACCAGCCTTAATTTTTTGGCTAAGTCTCTTTGTTCAACTGCCTCTCCCTTTGAGTGTTTAAAGCAAAAAATGAGAAATATTTTGGTGAGGATGAAGGGCAGGAAGTCCTCAGAAAAGGGAAACGACTTCAAGTGAGAAATTCCTCTTCCTTCCAGATATTATCCCATGCTTACAAGCCTTTTGTGCTTGAGAGAAATATTGCCTGTGGGTCTAAATCAGGTTGCTAGAAAAGGTGTAAGCAATTTTAGTAATAGTGTACTTCACAGATTACTGGTGCTAAGCACGGAGCAAAGGAGTGTTGGCTGGCTACAAAATGCTCAGCATCTCCTCCCACTCTCATTCCTCTGCTTTAGTTTTTTTCCAGAAGAGTTCCTGTCCCCCTTGGAAACCTGTCCCTATGGCAACACATAGGACTACCTGGATGCAGACATGCTAGTACTTTGACAGCCCCTTCTTTTTGTGACACTTCTGATGATAACATCCTGAGATTGTCAGAAGGATGATGCGAGATCGCCTGTGTCCGAGATACCATTTGGACGTTTTTCTACTAAGAACTTGTTTTTGCAGTCTTCCACTCTTCTAGCTCTTGAACTCTCAGTCTGTATATCATGACTGCAATTTTATCTGAAATGTGTTGCAAAATCTATGTATTTGCCTTTATCAGCAAAAACCCGTAACCTCAAATGAGATGTTTTTGACAGGACCTACTTTCCATAAAGCCACGCTGCCAAGTACCACATGCTGCTTCTGTGGTTCTTTCTGAACCAAATCCCACACTGGCTTTTCCCATGTTCTGTTCACATGGTAGCGAAGCTTACTTGTACCTAGGCCACCAACGTGATGAATTTCTAGCTATGCTCTTTATACACACAGTTACTTGGATTAACACTGCTATCTTTTTTTCACTCTGTGTAAGTAAATATGCTACATCTAAGCACATCATACAAAAATAGCCCATGCACTGCTGGCTTTGGATGGTAAGAGGGAGTTATTTGCATGCAGGGGGATAACCTTGAGCTCCATGAATTGCAGTCAGGACTTCTGATTTCAAAAGCATAAAACTCCTGCCCAAAGGCAGTCACCAGCCCACAGCCAACAGCTCCAGGCTATGTCCTAAACATCTATAGGGTCCAGAAAGGTTGAGACCCTTTGGAGTGATGCTCACAGTGAAATCTGTCACAGCTGGGCTTTCCTGGCACACAAAGACATGACAACACGAGGTGCAAGGGTGTTCTTTGTTTACATCCCTGCTGAGCAGAGCCACGCAACTAACATTTCACATGAAAAAAAAGGTTAGAAATGAAACTGTGGTCTGTGACACCAAGCTGGACTCAAAACTTATTTCATTAAATAGCACAGCTGGTACTGAGGTGATCTTCTCTGATCTAGATTTTAAAGCTCACAAACTTCCAAACTTGGTATTCCTTACCAAGAACAAGAGACAGCTTGGAACCTTGCTCTCACTGTGGGAAAATTCAAGTGTGAACACTGACACAAATTGAGTTGTACGTTTGTGTGCATGGCTCTTTGAGAAGGTGCAGGGGGGCACTTTGCTCAGATGTGTCCCAGAGGACCCAGAGGCTCCCATTGTCTTTGAGAAGGCTGGGAAAACAAGGAAACGCTGTCTGTACTGCCAAAACCAAGAGGATATAAAGAAATAATGGAAATTATGATGTGGGGCTACCTGTAAATCCTACAAGTTACAGTTATAATTGAGATTTTCTTTCACTTATAAATCCAAAATTACAAATCTCTTGCTTTGGAGATCCTTTCTTGAAGGTGAGAGGCTAGCATTAAACTCAAACCCAGTACTTACCCAGCTGATCTACTACATAGATCCAACTAATACAACAGGCCAAAAAGAAGTCCTATCAGTTTTAGTCGCAGCAGAAGGCATTTCATTATCAGTTTCTGCTCCTTTTGTCCCAGCTGTCTGTCAACATGAAGGAAGACAGAAAGAGCATGCCACTGCGCCGGGAATGATTAGACTGCAGAACAACCAAACTAAAGACAATTACTTTCTATTTTATATATGACTGGGAACGGCTCTGAACAGTCATGGCAATGGAAACTTCAAAATATTTTCTGTATTTTTAATTGAATTTTAAAAAATATTCCTTCTATTTTGTTCTATTTTTTCTGTCCTTGTCTTCCTTCCATGCCTGTTAATGTTTGTGCCAAGAACCACTGTGAAACCCCTCTGATATCATCAATCCATGCATACGGTTTCTCATTTCTAGATAGTTACATGCATGCACACTTCAGTTTCATAATTGGGCAGGAAAAATATCAGACCTGTAAAAAGCAAAACACAGCCCATTACATGCTGGGTGGCAGAATCAAATGGAGGCGGTGGGAGGCTGGGAGCTGCCTGGAGATCCGAGTCCTGGCTGTAGTCAGGAACAACAGATGGTGTTTGTCAAGAGGATAGAGCCTTACCTTCTTATTTTATCATGGAAATATCACAGTAAGAAAACTATCAACAGTCACTATTTTATCTAACAGATTTAAGAAATACATCCCACTGAAAAAAGGCCAGAATCTGCTGGAAAAAAGACCACCAGATGCAGCTGGAAATCCCAATTAAAAGATGCAGTTTTGTTTATCAAAAGACATTGTCAGCCATTGCGTGTATTTTATTTTCTTACTAAGGAAATGCACTGAGCATATACAGAGATTACATCCAATGCAGATTCATCATTACAGAACAATCAGAAAATAAAGATGCAATCAATACATATTTCCTGTAGCAGAACAGATTGAAGGAACTGATTCAAGCTGAGAATAAAATGAAAAATACTTAATTCAATTTAAGTGATCTTTACACAGATGAGATATTTAAGTCTAAGCTAACATTCTCAGCCAAGATCTGTTGCATTGTTGCAATCTTTATATTCAACAGCTTTATCAGACTTGTGCCTAGCAACTAAGCATAGACCAGAACTGCCTTATCCTAGAGCACATTCGAACAAAACCCCAGAACAATAGTCCCGGTCTGAAGCCACCATCTACATGAGATGCTGAAAGGATCCATACAGAGGAAAGGGTACAATACAACAAGGAGACAGTTTGGTCCATGTGACAGGCAACAGCTACAAGGCAGGCTTGTACTCTACGTGGAGGTTTCACTGATTTTACTTGATGAAGCTCTCTAGAGTTTGCAACCTTAATAAAATTTTTGTGAATGTGCAGAATTCTACGACACACTGCCTGGAATTGAGTTTTCAAAGAATTATATTGAAAAAAAGTCACAACACAAACCCAGTGGAAAAACTACTTTGCCACGTATTTTGTGAGTTCCATAAACTTGACAATCAAATCTTTTTCCAAATGGGGAACTAAAACTAGAACTCAGAAGACCACCTCTACTTCAATTATACTGGTTGGACTTCAAGTCAGTCCTCTGCATGTTGTGTGCCAGAGATTAGAACAGATCATTAAAATCTACAAATATCACTCATCCGCTTGTCTGTCCCTCTGAGTTTTGAATCAAAGGAGGTATCACCCTGCTGTCCAATATCGTAGACCTTAGTGCAGTCACATCGTGCATTATGTCACTTCTTATCTTGCCTAATTTCAACATAACCACTTCAAAGGACTATCTGCCTACTAGCTAGTGATGCACAATGCCTTCTACGATACAGACCATTCTGGATCATTTACTTGGTAAGACTGCAATGAACAGGATTATTTAAAACGTTGATTTAGTTCCTTACATCTCTAAAGTTCTCCAAGTAATTTCACGCACTTTGCGAAATGGAAAGGATATATAAACCACCACAGATCAACTCATTCACATCACTGAAGGGGGAGATATATACACTTACTCTCAAAGAATGAAGTTTAGGACAGCGAAAAATTAACTACATAGTTGAAACCACAAAAAGAGTTTGGAGAAATAAAAATGTTATTACTCACGTTATAATTTGCCTACAAGACAGGGATTAACCACTTGTTCTCAAAACCAGCAGTAGAGATCGAACAAGGTGATCTTTGGTGGGAGCTTACTAGTTCAAAACAACTTCCAAACTTTTTTTTCCTTCTTCTTCTTCCAGTGTTGTGGTGAGATTCTCAAAGGATCAGAAAAGAGAAGACTGGAAGGTTGGTTCTTTTCCCAGGAAATATACATAATGCGCCTCCATGCATTGTTCTCTTAGTGTCTTTCTCTTACCAGTTTGTGTTAATACTAAATCATCTTTATTTCAAGTTTTCTGGCTTTGTCCAGTTTGCAGATGTTCTCTGAAAGACTAATTTGCTTGCTAGAATTTTCAGTCACTTTGTGCTTGAAAATTTTAGCTTGCTTTTGAATGTCTGCCAATAGTAAACAGCATTTGGAAGATATTGGTCCTTTACCTACTACAAGGCTACTTGCAGCTAAGATTTCTCCTTCTCTTTATACATGCTATCTAAATTGTAGGAAAATGTTACATATTTGCACAACCAACCCCATATGATAAACAAGAATAGGGCAGCATTTTTTACATATAAGACATAGCAGATGGAATAATTTTTATCTGAACATCTGTCAGGTCTGCCTACTGCTTTTTGCCTACTGAGAAATATGGTACATGGAGTAATGTGACTAGGAAATACAATCATCCCTTTCTAAGAAGGCAGACTTGTTGCTTCAGGATACTCTTTCCTCCCCCCCTCATGTCAGCTTCAACAACGGGTGCCACAGCAATGTAAAGACGAGGACAGAGAAGTAGCTTGCGGAGGTGGTGACTCTTGAAGCCAGGCTTTTTGCATTGCAGTTGTTTGAGTAGCAGCAGTGAACGCTCACTCCGGGCGCTCTGGATCCGTCCCTCCTTGCCCGCTCGCAGAAGGACCTGAATGAACAGGACTTCATAACCCCACCTAGAAGAGAGCCACATTGAACCCAAATGGACCTGCACATTCATGGTCACCCGCTCCTGTCTGCACCCCCTGGGCGGGCACCTGAGCCACCAGTACTGAGCAATGGCATCAGGCTTGGCCATTCCTCACAAGCAAATTAATACAATTGCATCAGATTACAGCACACTAACGAGCTCCCACTTAAGTTAAATAATTGTAATTTATCTTGCATGCAACTGATGCAGCTTAAATATCTCTGAACATGCTCAAGTGCAGTGCCTCATTAGCTTCCTTTCCTTCCTAATTTCCAGGTAAGTAATTTAATTTTAAAATGACATATTTAATTAACAAGCAGGCAATACTTAAAATGCTTTTTCACAGCTTTCACATAGTGTGGATACAGTCCATCATGGCATACCAACAAATCAGTCAGTGGGATTTTGTATCTAAATTGCTGCTAAACCAATAAAATTAGGGATCGAGATTATTTAATAGGGTTTATTTTGAGAGGAAACATTCACCTTTTTTTTTTCCTTAGCTTACTATATACTCTTCTCTTTCCAATACCAGCTATGTATTTCTATTATTAAAAATGTAATGAGTCTGAACTGTGACCACTTACTTGCTTGTCCTCTAATGACCGCACACGCATCTGAATGCCCGGGGCATTGCTGAGTTCCTTGTCTGTTACAGTCTTCATCACTAGAACCTACACAGGTGTAACACTGCAGCGCTTCGCCTGGCGTTAAGGAAAAAAGACCACTTATAAAAGTAGTGTTTAGAGTTTACAAAAACTATTCAGCTACATAGGCTTTCTAATTTTGTTTGAAGCACATGCAAAAAATTGCAAAAAGATTTAAAAAACCTAAGGATTCTGCAAGTCCTATCAATTTTTCTTTTTTAGAAGTGGTCCAAATCCTAATTTTAAAGACAAAAAAAAAAAAATCAGCCATATATTATTTAGCTGTTACAATTTGCACTTAAAATGATCCAAGAACATCTGATGTTCTGTAATTGCACCCACACCTTCTTGTAACATTTTCAGAGCAGAGCCCACTGTAACAAGTTGGAGTATCATGGGGTTTTTCCCCCTCCGTCATGATCTTTGGTCCACAGTACCATGAAAAAGAACATTGTAAACACATAAAATCTTATTATGATCCATATTTCAGTTTCCTAAAGTATCAATTCAGCTGGAAGGCACAGCAGTATACCTTAAGAGTTTTGCTTTTGTTTAACTAGTACAACCATAACTCTCTCGCTTCTTTTCCTCGGTTCAAACTACATGGTATTTCCAAAGGCAAGCATGAATTTGAAATATATTTAAAGTACCATGCTTCAAACCTGCAGAGCAGAAGGCACACTTGCTGTCCACAGGGACACGTGCATTTAGATTTGTTAGCTTACATATTTATGTTTACCTTACATAGCAGAGGTGAAATTCTGTGCTGCTAAGCCCAGACACTAAATCTGAAACCGAACAAACCCAGGAGAGAAGCCCAGAAGAGCAAAGAGGCTCAGCCATGCCTGAAGTAGGACATGAAAAAGAAAGAAAAAAGGCAAGAAAAGGGAGTTGACTTACTTTTGAGTACAAAAAGGGAGCTGACAAGAACCAGGCTGAAGACTGTCCACATCATGGAGATACAAGAGTTGTACCATTAGGCAAAGAAAGCAGTTTGTTTGCTATTAAAGCCTTAATGCTTATCTTACATACGTAATCCTCTGCAGGGGATACTTACAGGATAAAGAGGTGTGCAAGAATGCTACTTATCTAGCTTATTCTGGTTGTGCTTCTAATCACACGTACTTCATCTCCACTGACCTGCAGGCAAAGTCCTCCAGCAGGAGGAAGAAAATGTACTCACCTTCAGTGATATATACGCTTAAAAACCACCATCACGGGACACAAATGGTCCAAATCTAGCATGCATATATATATATATATATATATATGTATATTTGGAGAGAGAGAGCAAGATTCCGAGGTAGCTATGTGCACAGGAGTGCTGTATTCTCGTGAGGCACGGAGCGCTCCCAGCAGTGACCCATGAAGTGCTTTCCGTAAAGGAATTTGTCAGTAGGAGCTGATGTGTCTGGTGCTGCACACAAAGTAAGCAAGCAATGTACATAAAACAGAGCCATACTTATCTTCAACTTTCAACGAAAAAATTTATTTACAATAGAGAATTTCATTTAAGTGACATGCATTTTCTTTTTTTTTTTCATTTTTAATTTTATTTTACAAATCAGCAAATGCAGATAAAGTTTACACTCCTTAAGGCAAGAGTCCCCATGCAAGTAATACATGTTTATATTAAATCCAAAAGACATCCAACATGGGAACTCATGTACAAAGGGAAGGCTAGGATCAGCAATTTGTAATTTCTTAGAGAACTTGACAATCTCCCTGATACAGGAACTTTGAGATCAACTTGCTATGAATTATACTATGAAAATGCAAACAATAGCAAGAAATTCTGATAGTCATCTTAGTACTGCATACAATTAAATCAATTTTATTTAGAAAGAAAATACAGTAGTGCATACGAAAAAGTGAAAATATAACCCGTCCACATAAATGTATGGACATCAGTGTGCCAATGGTCATATTGCACTCAATATCGAAGTCCAGAATTTTGGTTAAAAGTTAGCTTTTCCCCATTTTGGCAATCAGTTCATCACAAATCTTTGTTAATTCTTCTATCTCTTTATTCTGGAAAATAAAAGGCAATATTAAGTATTATGAAAAATATTGTTGCATTAAGATAAGGTTGGGGTTTTTTTAATTATCCAACCTTTGAAAAAAGTGTGAGACAATTAAGTTTCCTCCAATACTGAGAACAGAGTATCTATACATACAGAGAGATATATAAATATATGTATTTGCATACAGAGTACAGCTACGTATAGTACATTCAAATAATATGCTTACTTATTTCCACATACAGATCCTTGGACTTCAATAACTACAATTTAGCACTAAAGCAGACACCTTTGTAGCAGTCATTCCTAGCACATGATAATAATACATAGTGTAAATTTGTTTTTAGGCTGTACTTTTACAGCATTATTTTGACCATGTTTCCCAGGGGCTCTAAGCAAGGACAAGCTGTACTATACTGAAAGCAAGCTCCTTTGCTGAGCTACAGAACATTAAATATAAGGCTTTCCTACAGTCACTTTTGCCCTAAGCCGTACTGATCCGTAGCTGACGGTTCTGTCTATGTTAACAGTGGAGGCACATAAGCTAGCACTGGAATTACAGCTAAAGCTAAAAATGGAAACAAAACCCAAAAGAACTAAACTGGAAAGATCTTAAACCTGAGGACCAAAGCAAACCGAGGGCCCGGCTTGGTACCCAGGTGCCCACTGAGCTTTGTCTGAGCCTGAATCAGCCCTGAGCGCTGGCCGGTGGCCAAGATCAAAGCCTGGCAGATGGGTCCATTTGCCCCAACTGCCCGGTGCACACAGATGATTTTGTTACAAGGTTTGGGCAATGCTGCTCTCCCTGGGGCCGGGAGCTGCTGGGGCAGCTGGATGTGAGGAGCTGGAGAGGCCCTCGGGCAGACCTTGGCTGTGGTCCGCACTCCAGAGGAGAGCGGGATGCAGCCACTCGGGGGACATTTCACTTCGCTTCAGTCATCCCGTTGACTTTGGCGTTAAAAGGGCTGAATTGCTATTTACCTTTTGTTCCAGTGTTCTTTCCAATGCGTCCACCTTCAGTTGCTCTTTACGCAGGCTGGCCTGATACGCTGCTTGCTCTTGCTGAGCCTTGCCCCTCACTTGTGCAATTTCAGCATTGGCTCTAGAAAAACAGATTTTTGTCATGTCAGGTTCTCTACAGGAAAGGACAGGGGGTACCGAAGGATGGACTGCATCTTAACAGGTGGGTGCTGAGGGCAGGGCTGCCTTCTGCATGCCTTTGAAAGTATCCCGAGACTTATCCCTAGAGACTTCTCATGACTCCCTTGTCCTCAGCAGAGGCTGCAAAGTCTTTTCTTAATGTCTGTGTCATTCCCTGTGTGCTTCTCTCAGATGTCTGTGCTGGGGTCACAAATATCACTTAGGTGGAAGTGTTTTATGGCAGTTTCTAAACCTGATCTCCAGTTCTTACAGGCTAGATTCACAGCTGGGACAACAGTTGGAAAGAAAATCCAAGTCTTGCTTTGTTTTAGGCACTGATCAATCCTAGCGACATTTTGGAAACGTCTCTTGAGTCTAGGGGACTGTAATGTGAGTCCTGCATGTAATCCCCAGAAATGCTTAATTGGCCATTACATGGAAGCATAGAAAAAAAATAATTAAAAAATCAACCAGAGCTGCCTCCCTTAAGCCATAATCTGATGTTTGCTCCTTAACGGTGGCTTAAGGAGTGCACACCTGGCACGATCTTTTGTGCAACTATTCCTCGCCGCCCTCAGCACAAGTTGGGCTGATCCAGCTTAGAGAACTGGTGTTACCAGGGGGAGACGCCTGACTGATCCTGCGCTGAAACAGCGCAGCAGCACTTACATCTTCTGTTCTGCTGATTGACGCGGGGGCAGTAACACAGCACAGGGGCAATAGCAAATCTCTGGGGGCAGGAATACTGGCTGCAGGGGCAAATATCTGAGCACAGCCCTCCATAGCTGCACAAACCTAGCTAATGGCTTCTTCCTTGGTCTTCCCTGGAAAATACATTAAAGAAACATGAAGACATCCAATAAAGACAGAAGTTTAAGGTCAGGAGCTGGAAGAAACACCAGCACATTACAGGAATTCTCATTACGGCATTTCATTCCACTGCCATCGCAGAGCAGCCCGCGCTCTGCATAGCGAAGGTTTGGGATGCAAGCCCCAGCCACAGGAACCCTCCCACAGCGTGAGCTCCGGAAAAGCGATGTGCACAATCAATTACCTGTCCAGTTTTTCCTCAGCGTGAATTTTGAGTGCTTGATACCTCTGCTCTTCCTTCTTTACTCGTGATAAATATTCCTGCGCACACTTCTTTAACACTTCTTCATTCTTAAATGAGAAGATTACATAAAATTTAATCCAAGAGGTTGAAGGCACGTATCTGCAGGAGTCACATTTGGGTATTTTAAGGGCTGCAGTCTAACACCAACACCCCCACACAGAGGCCATCTGAAGTGGTATGGCACAATGCAAAAAGCTTAACAGATCTTCAGTTTGCATTTGATACGTGGCTGCAATCCTCCATCCGAGGATCACATTATGTCACGCGCTTCAGGCATAACCTCGGACCTGAGGATTTCATGGCCCGGGTTTTAACAGAGCGCTCAGGCCAGACGCCAGCCCTGACGTGTGCTCAAGTCCCGCGGTTATGTGACAGCTATTGAAATGGCGGTGTCACAGGTGTGAGCAAGTTACTCTTGTGCAAAATCTTCATCTTTTTAAGGCTATTCCAAAACGAAAGCACAAACGAGCATCCATGCTCGCCCTCCCCCAGCACACGGCAGTCTAACATAGCACATTGGATGTGACCTGTTAAGCAGCACTGGTATGCGTGAGAGCCTGCTCAGCTTTGCTCTTCAAAGGAGGGGACTTCAACATGACTCACCTTCCGAAACCCCTCCAATACTTCTTTCATTTTTTCGTATCTCCTGAAAAGATCTGCCAGTGATTTCTCCACCGAATTCAGATCTGCCAAAGCTTGCTCCTTCTCCACTATCAGCTGCTGAACAGTGTGATGGGAGACAGATTTCTCTCTCTGTTCATCCTCTGTTAGAAAGAAGAGAGGGGGAGGAAAAAAAGCGATTTTTCAGAAGGGTAGTAGTCGTGAGAGCACTGATTTCACTGTCATCCATAGTTTCTACTATACTGTGCTCTACGTTGTGTATTAGTAAGTTTGCAGGATCCAGAAAAGTAATTTTTATATAAAGACACAATCCTGTTTTGGAAAAAGGTTGCCAAATACAGTGATACTTAAATATTTTGATGTTGGGGAAAAATGTGAGTGTATGTCCTTACTGATGATTTATTTCACTCTGAACTCAGCTGTTCCCACAAAAAGGGCAGGCGTTGGATTTCCCTTGTGTCCCTGAAGATGCACTAGCTGAAGGAAAGGACATTTATGCATATTACTAGCACTGGCAATAAATTATTTGCCATTGCTGATATATGCTTCTCATCTCCTGGCAGCTCTTCTAATCCTGTACAAAGAAGGCACTTTGTTTAATGGAGCTCAACTCCAATTCTCCTGCACAGTGTTTTGCAAACTCTCATTCTTAGGATTTCTGGCAAGTGCCAGAAAGGGAATCTAACATCAGGGAGACTTTGTAAGTTCTGGTCTGCAGAAAACACCTTCCAAGCTTCTCCTGTCTATAGTTACATTTGAGGCAGGGAAGAACATAACAGGAATCCAAATCCATATGGAAGAGAACTTTTCAAAGGAGTTGACCTGGGAATAAACGGGAATACCCATATAACACCGGACAGAAAGGTCTGGTGTTGTCTTCCAAAATGCTTCACTGTTTGCTTCACATCCTAAAATACAATTCTTGTGTCCATGTTAAGGGCTACGTTGAATGATACTGAAATGAAAACCAACTCACAAACCATAGCAGTTTCATATTACCGTTCTCCTTTGTCTATGATGGAAACTAAAATAAGGTAAGAAGTAAAAAGCACGGGGCATTTCAGAATCTACAACTTTTCATTCAGGCCTTTATATTTTGAAATATAAAGAACTAAACATGAGTTTATTTTTTTATCTGAATAGAAGTCTTAATCTGAATTAAGTATTTCATAGTGCTGGTCAGCTCTGAAATGTCAAAGTCGATACTGTCAATGCCCAAACTGAGATTCATTTTCTTCCTTTTGCATATTCAGCCCTTTTATACACTTTTTTGGTAGCCTAAGCCCAGAGCACTGATGATGCCATGCCGTACATCAGCTGTGTTCTGTGCTCCTCTGCACACCCCCTGACAGCATCTTGCTGGGGCAGGGCCAGACCTGAGGTTATTTTGCTCTAGGGGATGCAGAAGGTCAAAAGAACCAGAGATGCTCTCAGGACCTGCACCGAGTTTGCAGCACTAGAAGTTGTAACACCGTTATTTTACTGGTGAACAATTGCCCTTTATATGGAAGAACTGAGAAACCCAGAGCCCTGTAATGCCATGTCAGTTTGGTAACATTTAGCATTTCATTAAAAATAAACATTCTTGTCTATTTTGCCTTCTTAAAGACACTCTGTGATCATCTGCAATGTCAAAATGAATGTATTCTCAAGTAAAATGAGAAAACCATTTGTCATCCTCATTTATTTTTCTAAATCTGAGAAGTTGTCACCTTGTGTTCCAGCACAAGATTTGTTCAATCACACTGGAGATTGCACACTGTCTGGCTTAATTCCAAAACACTCACTGGCAGGATCCTGTACTTTGGCAAAACCTCTGTTGTCGCAGCTCCACGCAGGGCAAAGGATCCATTTGCATGATCACATAATGTACTTAAATGTATGTAATGTCACAACTTTTTCTGAGACTGCTGTCTGCGATATTATTTGTTTCTAGGGCAATCTTGGAAGCCCGCAATGCCTGACTGCCCCCACAGCTCCCCCCGTTCCTCCGAGCACAGCGGGTGCCCTCCCCTCTCCTCGGCTGGACCAGCTCCTCAAACACTCATCCCCAGCATCAACGTGCAGGTGGGAGTTAGGGGCAAGCGGTACCCGATGCTCCCTTTCTCCTCTCCCTTCCGCTACCTCCTAGAGGTGCCCAGTGACTGGGGAGCGAGCTGAGGCCTCCTTAGACTCCAAGAGGAAAACGGGAATTTATACTGGGGAATGGAGTGACATATAAATTGAGAAGAGGGGAAGTTTCCAGTGCGCTTTAGGAAAGGGGCATCTGGCAACCTCAGATAACAGCTAAGATACATTTAAAACCCAAGTGGTTTAATATTACAGAAAACAGAAACAGGCACCTGGCTGGAGGGGGACTGGGAGATCTGTGTGATATTTTCTAAAACTATGATTTAGCTTTAATGAGAAAGCTGCTTAGTGGAACTGTGCTGATAACAGTCTGCAGTCAAATCTTAGTTAAGCAGTTACAAATACTTATTTCTAAAGATATTTATGAGGTTGTGCGATTAAAATGTTTTAATTAAATGGCTCCCATGTCTGCAACACACACTGTCCACAGCTCACCAATGATAACAACAGTACGCTCAGGACTAACACTATCCAAATTGACAGAATCAGAGCACGACCACAGCAGATCCGCTTTCAGGCTCAGCTCAGTATTACTTACATTACTTAATGGGAATGCAGCAAACGGAAAACAAAAGAAAAAGAAACCAAAAATGCAAAATGCTGGTGTGAAAGTTGGTGAAAAGCTTTACTTACCAGGCTTGCCTGTTTTGTTTTTGCAAGCAAATAGCAAGAAGCAACAAAAACGGAAGCAAAATAGAAAATCAGGAATTGTTAGGAAAGCAGAAAGTAAGTAATGCAACAACCTGTAATGCACAAAGCATAACATCTGTTTGTTTTTCACAATGAAAATTTAATTATGTATTTAAACATACAAGTATAAGGATACATTTTTAACAGAAAACCCCCAACATTACAAATCCGTCAATAAAAAGAAAATCCACAACAGGGATTTTGGAAGGGAACTGTGGATGGCTGGGTGCAGTGCACATCGGGGTTCCACAGGCTCTGTCCCATGCGGCTCTCAGTGCCACGCAGCCTGAGCTGCAAAACTTTGGCAACAGTCAGCAAAGCAGCAGCACAAGCAGCAGGCTAGCCTGGAAAGCCTGTTCTTTTTTCTCCCCTCTCCTCAATATAAACAAGAATGAGTTAGGGGCTGAGGCAAGTGTAAGAAAAAAGGAAAAAAGTTAAAGCACTAGTAAAAAAATACGCAAAGGACACCAACAGGGATCTACACACTGACAGCTCGCAAGCTCTGGCTGTACAGAGCGCGGCATGAAACGAATTGCATAAGCTAGGTCAGGTAATATCGGGCTCTATATGTATGTGACAGCAAATACTAGACGCTCCACAGCCCTCGAAATCAAATGCAGTTACTGTTTGCAAGGCATGTTTACCTTTATATGTAAACATACACGGTCATATAGTTAATATGGAAAACTTTCCATTTTCATTATACATACACGTGATAACCTATAAAAAGCTGAGCAGGACCTATCAGCCACACTGAATATTCATTACAGGGATTTGTGGAATTGGTTCACTTGTAATGCCCTCCTAACAGGGCTGTATAAATAGCTCAGAAGGGTTAAGTCATGAACAGGAACTGCACAGGAATTTCTTTTGTTAAAATGCATATTTTGCTTTAGCAGTAAGGCATTATCGTGATAATAGTTCAGTGAAGTATAGGCAAATAGCACCCAGACAATCATTTTCCTCCACAATGTGGCTTTTGGATGAGTGTATTCCCTTATCAAAACGGACAGTAACTTACGACAAATGACAGGAGAAAGCGGGACAATTAGATAAAAAATTTACATTAAATGCAGGGAGAAGCAGCCTCGCATTTAACATATTACCGTGCTGTAGAATCTGCATTCTGCTCTAATTAACACACACTTTCTGTGTCACTGTTGTTGTATCAGTTCCTTTGCAAATGGACAGCAAATGACATTATTTATAGCCACAGCTCCTAAAAATTTGCCATAGATCATTTGAAGGACTCTGACTGATACTCTGAAGTTTGAAGATCTTCCTATTTCCTCAGTGGTCAATGGCCTGATGCTTTAATTATCCCTAATTTCTTTGCAACAAGAGGAAATGGCAATTGCAGAATTTACTATGTATGCCATGGCTGTGCCTTTGCCTTAGGACCCCTATTCTGTACCTTCTTGTCACACTGCGGTCTCACAATTTGCCTATTTTTTTTAAATCTGTTTCTCAAAAATAGAATTTGAATTTGTTATCAAAAAAACCCTTCTGTTGCTAACTATATGCATATGCTTGGGAAAAAAGGATAGGTCCTGTGTTTGTCCATACAAATGGCCAGGTTCAGGGACAAAGCCAGACCAGAGTACGTTTAGTGTGAACCAAAATGAATTAAGTTCTTTGCATACTCTGGTCACTTCTATTTTAACACTTGCATGATGAGAATGACAGACATTATGTCAGACAGCAGGCAAATTTGATCAGTTGTACATACAAAAGGCAACGAAGGCTTATTATTGTTGATGTTGTAACATTTATTTATTGGCCCATTTTTCCCTTCACTTGAGAGGAGGCTTAGAAATGCAGGAAGGCAGCAAAAGCACCAGACATTGCACTACTTCCCCCCACTCTCTTTTGGTGAAAATAAGCAAATTCACTATAAATGTATGTAAACACAACTCAAGCACTAATTAAAAAATCCCCAATTTTAAAGGAACCAAAACTTTGGGGTTCACACAATACTGACTGCAGATGAGGGGACTGCCCATTTTAAAAGGGGCAAACAATATGATATGTTGATAGCTGTAATAAAAATCCTTTGTCTCAGAAGGAGCAAGAGGAATGTTTCCTCCTTTCTGTTTTTCGGTGAACAGAGCGCAGGCGGGCTGGGTTGGTAACATGCCCTGCCCACAGACACCGATAGCGAGCCTTCCTCCTGCATCTCCCAGCCCAGATCTAACTCCGAGGCCACTCCTAATGGCTTTTAGCAGCATTTCACAGGTCTCTGCTGCTTCACTCAAGCTTGTCCAGATGAGCTTGGCCCTGCTGTCTCATCAGCCACTGCTTCTTTTCCTGCTCTTCCCAGCAATTTTGGCCATAGAGAACCCATGCCCCTGCTCAGCCGTTTGCCCTGGGAGACAGCTCGAGCTGAAGCAGTACCGGGCAAGATGAGCCACTGCGCTTTCTATAGCCAGACTAAGAAAACAAGATTTGGAAATCTTACAGAGAGGCTTTAAAATCACATCCCAGGGGCCGGACCTCCCGCACCAAGGAAGCACACAAGTCCTGCAACCCTTGGTTTTGGAATGCTACTGCACATAGCAGTTTTCATTTGTGGGGCATGCTGTTAACAATGGTGTTTTCTAATCATTGCGAGCCAAAACATGTCATAATTTGGACCTTACATCAGTAAATAACTGGGGAGGAGGATTGGCCACTCATAATCTCTCAGCTGGGATTGGAGTTAATCTAGGTTTTGGTCTGACCAATGCACTTAGCACAGATAATCACATTAAACAGTTGGGAGCGGATGACTAAAGGGTTTTCAGGTCATTGAAAGTCTTTTCTGGAGATACACACAAATTCCGGGCAAAGCATGTGAACATGCTTCCTATGGGACAGTCTGCTTTGATGCAGAAGGAAAAGCCCTGACCTTTCTGTATTACCTGGACCGCCTCGGGGGCTACTTTCTGTAAAACGGCGCCCCAGCTTTTCATCACAACCGGGCAGCACACGCCGGTGTCCTCAACGCATTCGCAATGCCCAGCAGCATCAGCAGATGTAGCTAGCATCAAAATGAAGCCCACAGACTTCAGCTATGTTTCTAGGCTCTCCAGAAAATCAGACTGGGGGATAGCATCTTTCAGAGTAGAAACACCTACCTATCATCTGAGCAATCGTCTTCTCATATTCTGAAACTATTTTCCTGTAAGAGGGAAAAAACAGAAAAGCTTTTGGCAAACATCATAATTGCTAATGCTTAATTAGAAAATAATGCTACTCAATAACTGAACTATTTTAAAAGAGATATAGAACACTCTTATATGCTCCTTATTACCCAAGTAACAAACAGAACAGACAGTTTAAACATTGCACCTGATTTTTAATTCTCCATGTAAATCAATATAGGTGGGGGGAGGGAAAAGCGATTGCTTTGAAACAAATTCTGTTATTTGAAACATGCCCAAAGTACATTTCCAGTTATGATTTAAATATAAACATAATCATATTGGTCTAATTCAAGACTTACAAAGATTTTGATTTTATCATTACTTTCTCCCCACTTCTCTATGTTTGTGTTTGCTTATTTTTAATGTAAATGTTAAGTATATAATTAGTAGCAAGTAACCCTAACAGGAGTATAGTTGGCCCTCACCCAAAATATACCTAATCTTCCACTCTCCAAATGTGAAAAAATGATCCATTAGCACTTAAGAGAACAAGACAAAAATATTCAGTTACATAGCACAAAATCCATCATGCCCTATTTCCCAAATCTGTTTTTGAAACAGAGGTGATGAAATGTTACTTTTAAGACTATTTTATTTCATATACTCACGGTAGGCTTTGAATTTCCTTCTTGAAAAGAGGTTAGCCAAAATAAGCAGATTAAATGTGATTTTGAAAGATGATCCATCCCTTTCCAGAGCCAAATAAAGCTAATGAAATGAGACTAGCTTGATCTGTGCTTTGGTTCATGAGCCACGTAGGACTGTCTACGGAAAACATAATTACCCCACACTTCATCTGAAGTGGATATTCAAAATAGCTCACTGGTATTTGAATACGTCTCTTTTGATGCCTCAGCTTGCTTTCACTTGCTCCATTTTAGAGAAGTCTGCTGCAGTTGGTGAGGCTACAGAAAGGATGTGGGAAAATCCTGGGACAAAAGTCAGTCAGGAAAGGAGAAACTTGCGGAGCTCCCAAAAAAATAATGCAGTAACTCCAGTACCGCCTGCCTCAAAGAGACAAAGAGAGCCCAGAACCCCCCGAGAAGGCCACTTGCCCCAAAGGTCAGTACCATCTCAGTTGCCCTGGTCCTGCTCAGGACTCAGCAGAGCAGGGGCTTACAGCTGCCCACCCCAGTGGCCACGCTCAGGCAGCAGCTAGAAACAACTTTCGGTACTGGGGCCAGAGCCCGTCCCTGCTCAGTTTGTTGTGCCTCCGGCTGCTGCCTCCACTGGCATATGCTCGGATGCTGCTTTCCCCACTGTCAGTCACACTGTTTTAATTGGCTTTTTTCTTTTGCTTCTTGTTTTTTAAAAAAAAAACATAAACAATACTTCTGAGAGCAAAGATAGCCACAAGGATTTTCCCCTAAAAGGAAGGGATTGGTTTCATGTCCAGAGAAGATTACCTCGAAAGCCTGCGATAAGCAATAAGGATTTTAAAGCCATGTCATATCCTTGTAACACCAGGCACCTTTAGGAAGTTTTATCATCCTAGAAAATGAAGCCAAGGACTCAGGGCAATGAACACGACATTAAACACTCTTACGACACTACAGCACTTCCCAGCCCAGGCTGCACCATAGAAGCTGGCAGCAAAGTGAAATAACATTATCTGTTTCTTATTTTTACCAGCTTAGACTAGTTCCAGTAGGCACCACATTCCCTGCACTACGCAGCCTTATGAATCCTGTGGCAGCTGTCCAACAGAAGTGAATACTGCAATGGCACATTGATTTTAATAATATTTGATTTGGAAAGCAAGGTAGTCAAATGAAATCTTGTTCCAGATTCATGTCAAAGGCCTCTTTCAGTCAAGCAGCCTAAATAACAGTCATTATGGCTGGGGAACTAAAGGATGCTGGCCACATCGTTCCTCCCTGTGACGGCACATCTTAACCCTACCTTGACATGCTGCATAGGGTTAACTATTGGTGTTTTAGACATTCAGTCTATTTATTGACTTCCTGCAATTTCGTAAGTCATAAAGGACTACAAAGGATCTCAGAGCTCATCTGCTTGACTATCCTTACTGAGGCATAATCAATTAGACCTCCAAATAACGGTATTTATTTCTTGCCTGCCGCTGGTTGTACCCCTGGATTATGGCACCCTGGTTTAGCTCTTTGGTAGTTATTACATTATTACAACTTCTCATCTTAGCTGCTCTTCTCTGGGGTGGAATTTCCTCCAGTCTGACATTTTTCTGGAAACTTAGTTGAACTCAGGATATTCCAGGCAGAGTATGCAGGACTTGGGTAAGCAGCATTGCTCTCCTTCTGTAGAAAGTGATGCTTTTGTGCTTGCAACTCTACATAATCCCTTCATTCCTTGCTTATCATAGATAATACAATATAATAGAGATATAGATAATATAGGTATAGATAATATAATATGATAGATATGTCATAGCTATTGCTGCATCTCTATCACACATGCACTGTTGCAACATTTAATCTTCCAAGAGAGATCTTTCTTTGTGCACATATGCATATTTTATCATTTTGTGACAATATTAGTCAGATTGTTTTTTCAACCATGTGTTTCTAGGGCTGTGCCTGTGGGAAATTTGGCTTAGATAGTGTGGGTTTTTTCAAATCCAATTTTATTGAGGGTGTAGACACACAAATTACTGTGAGAAAGATGAAGGTACAGATCTACAGTGTGCCAGCTGCTCTGTATCACCCCCTGCTCTCTTTTCATTAAGGAATAAGTGACCTCTGTCAGCGCCCACTTGCAGCCAGCAGGCACCCGCACCCGGGCAGCTTCCAGAGAACAGACCAAGTACCGCACTTGAGCGTGCGCTGAGCACCAAGACATGCCTTGCACAATTCCTAGTTTTGTTCATTCCTTGTTCTGATTCCCTGGTTTGACTGCTTGCAGCAGCTCCTTTCCGCTTTGCCTTGTTATGCGTTGGAGGGCTATGCCAGGGTTTTGTTTCCTTTCCCAAGCAGAGAGCAAGAGAGGCAAGAGAACTCAGCTGGGTGCTGGGAGATGGTTTTCTGAAAGAAATAAAGCCTCTGCCCTTGCCTTTTGCAGATGCTTCTCTCAGGATGCTTTGGCTCAAAGCCCTGTGCTGCTGCTATTCAAATCTGCCACGTGCGACTCCTGGCATCCATGCTAGCACTTGCCGAGTTCTGCACCGCAGTTCCCTTCTACCCTTACTCCCCAAGTACAGTTTTCCTGGATATAAGCAGGAATTGCATATGCAGGTCATCACTTGATACAGCTCATTGGCTTTAGCTTTAAACCACTGAGACATTTAATTTCAGGAAGAAGCTGGTGCTAGAACAGAAGTGATTTGGAAGAAAATTCAGTTGCAGAAGCAATTGCAGAAATTATTACTTCAAAGAAGGATGCTAAAATAATCTGTCCGTTTCCTCTTGTTTATGAGTTAAGGGGAGGTTTTCTTCCTGTCTGTTTGAAGGTAGAAAAGAATAGGCTTTAAAGACTCCACAAAATATTTTTATACATTCTCTTTTGCAATTGATGACTTTCTCAGATTCAGACCGATGAGCAGGTCAAGCTCACTGGTATGTCATTCTTACGGTATTACTGCTGTAAAAAAAGAAAGGCTGAAACTTCCAACTGACTAAATGGGAAGCAACAGTGATTCTGTGAGCAACACCGCTCACCTCATCCACTACAGTGGTTTTGTTGTCACCCTTGCAAGTGGTAGGACCTGGGCTGGGAAGGAAGGTCAAACCAGCTTTGCTCCAGGATACAGATTCTTAATGTAATAGCGGCAGGTTTGCACGGAGAAAAAGAATAGAATAGATACAACTAGAATAAACTGAAAAGCTCATGGTCCTTGTGTCAGCTCTCAAACAGAACAGTAAAATCCAAGATAACTATTGCTTAACTAAAATCAAGCTTAAATGTGTGCAGTATTTAAAAAATCAGCTCAGTTCAAAGAAAAAGTGTCTAATCTCCTTGAAAGTCAACACTCAGAGGCCAGACTGGTTCCTTTGCAAGAAATGTTTTCCTGCTGGCAACTGTTTTGGGGTTTTTTTTTCCTATTGTTAAAGAAACTTTTTACGATAATGTCCTGTCCTACTCATACCTATCTGCAAACCTTCACATTCTTTATTCTGTTGGCAAAACTGTTTGCGTAGAGAGAATTTTAAGCTAGCACATGCATACCTCTGCCAGCTCTGCGGGCAGACTCATCCAGGCAGGCAACAGAAACATTACAACGCAATCCATGTGAGAATTCACAGCACAGACTGGAGGAAATTGTTCCCTTGCACTGACCTAGATTAAGACCTCTCTTATCTCAGCATTTTGAGGATGTAAATGAGATCAGCAACACAGAAGTTTTCAATGATTATCCTGAACAGGGGTGCCCACCACGCAGAGTAGACAAGGTGTCAGTTTAGGATCAATCCAAAGCCTACAGTTAAAAATAACAAAACAAATGCAGCTAACCAAAGCAGTTGTACAGTCATGGTACCCTGCGTACCACCCACAGGCTGAAATGAACTCTCTGTCAGTGTGATTAGCTCAGTGATACAAGTTAATAACCCACCTCATTTCCATCACTTCCCTTCTGCTTTCTTCATATTTCTCTTTCCACTCAGACACTTCTCTTTCCTTGGCCACAATCTGAAACAAAGAAAGCAAAGGAGGAAAAAAAACACAAACAGTAAACCCAAGTGATCCATTAAAGAGGAAATTAAATAACTGTACAATATTGGTTTAATAGCAAATCCTAATTAACAGAGGTATAGTTCTCAAGGGCATAATGGGTTCAAATATAACCATCCCCAGTGATTTTTTTCTTTTTCAGACTGCAAGGTGCAATTAAAAACATTCGGATGTAAAATCATACTCAAGTTTAGAAAAACTAATTTAGGAAACTAGATGCAATGTTCTTGTTTCATGTTTCACTCCTGATTAGAAGAGGGACACTTTTCAAGAAATACTATATTACACTACACCAGGTCCAAGTTGACCTGGTGCCAAACCTGAAATATGTACCTGAAGTACGTGGGTTTGGAACATGGTCCCCTGGTTTGTCCTCTAAGGGGGTTCTACTGCTTCTGCATGCATATTTAGGGCTGACTGTCCATGAAATCCTATACCCGAAGGACGGTATCCTTTTGTGCTTCTATTGTTCACACAATCTACCATAAAGTTTGCAATAGTCTAATGCTAGACTGCACCCGTTTTTAATTTGTTATTATTACCCAGGCTAATATTATATGTAGCTTTTTAAAAAACACAATTTTATTCCTATTTCTAGCATCTTACAATTTTTATATAATTATATAGCAATGTCAAGATGCACAGAGTATACTTGAGGTTAAAAACAATAAAGATTTATTTTCATATAATGTCTGCTTTTCACTTATGTCAAAAAAAGTAAAACTTACAGTGTAATGCCTTTTGCTTTGGTAGTCTCTAGCGTGGCTTTACCATGGTTGAGGATGGTTTCAAGAATAGAACAAGTGTTCATAATATGAATCATTTGGGAGAAAACAGGAAAGGAGGAAACCACAAAGGGCACACATTTCCTTTTCCAGACTCTGAAGAAAATTACCTCTGCTCTGGCGAGTCGTAGTGCAGAGTCTAAGTCTTGCTGGGGGTAGAGAAGACCCGTGGTGCTTTCCGCATCCGAGGTGCCGATCCGGGAGTACAGTGCACTTTTAGAGATGGAAACATCTGCTGGGATAGCAGGTTCTCTCTGTGTGTTTGGTTTTTTAAATACAAAGAAATGAACCATTAAATATGTGTTTAGCTCATATGTTTTCTGGGTTTAGTGCTAGGCACCAGGGTCCTGAGCTAGTCCTGTGCACTACTAAATTATAACATCAACAACACTGACAAGGAACTTAGAATTCAGCAATCATAAAGTACACATTTACGATCCATAGTAAGCACCAACAGAGCCATATTACCGTTACAGAGAGAAAGTAAAGACAGCACTTTGCCACCAATATTTTAAGGTCCTATGTTAGAAAATTTACTACTTTCTAATGCAGAAATTTCATCAAAACATCCACAAGAAATGCATGTCAGCAGAGGAAATTAGAATTGGAGGCAGAGGGCTTGTTAAGGGGAATTCTGCTTCCATAAAAATAGATCAAGAAACCAGAAGCAAGAGGACAGCTCACTTTCTTAGATCTGACCTACCTATACTGCATCTATCATACACAATATATTACATAGGAAGTGTGAATATACAAGTGACGTTGCTGTCCCAGCTGGCATGCTATTAGTAAGTTAAATGAGGTTGTATTTGCAGCTGCCAATTTTGCTCATGTCAGCGTCCCAGATTAATGCAGAAAGAGAGCAGCATGTGAAATGAGGAAGAGAGCAAAAAAGAGGTATGTGACACCGAGATGCACGAGATGTCTTGCAAACAACTCTAGATACAAACAATCCCAGTTACAGCACGTTAAAACCAAGGAGATGATAAAAGACACTCAGAAAGATATGAGACAAAAAAGCCCCCGCATTTTTAGACACCCTGGGTAGCAAACCCCCTGAGAGCAGACCCCTCTGCAGCAGATGCACCACAGCTGTATGTCCCTGTGTCCCCTACCTATGCCTTGCATCTCACCATCAACCAGCTAACATGCATGTGCTGACTGCCTGGCTGGGTATTGCCTCTGGAGGGCTGGGAGACAAAATGTTCTTTCTCGCAGCTGCTGGTGGGTCACAAAATAATTTTGGAGGTGGAGGTGACCATACCCCTATTGCTGCGGTTTAATATTCCGTTCCTCTGTTAAATATGCACAGACCTGGTCAAAGGAATCTGGATTACTGGGGACGGGAGGAAGAGGGGATGACAGTACAGACACCACGGCCACCACCAAAACACTGCTTCCTTACAACACTGGACTAAAACAGGCTGGAGAATCAAAATGTCACAAAAAAATTAAAATAAACTTTTTTTAAAAAGAGGAAACCCTCATAGAAACCAAATGGGGTAGCAAGTTAATGGTAAGAGGCATCTCCATGAGCTCTGTTATGTTTCCAGGCTCCAGAGCAGAGAAAGGGGATGCCCTGTGCCCCTGCAGCGCCAGGACCCCCACGACTACACTGCACAGGCGCAGGCTACATCGTCCTCGGGATAATCCTGCAAGACAGAGCCAGCAACTCCACTTCACAGGCTGAGGACCCGATCTGGCCCCACGCTGCCCAGAGCAGTCCCAGGGGAGCCCTTCGGGGAGACCCATGGGGGAAATGGGCTTAGCCCTGGCCAGGGATGAGCTCTTGCACTTATCAAGTATTTTCCTTTCTCTGTATATGAAATCCTTCCACCAGAAGAGGTTTCATCGGAAAGATCTTGCTACTGAGTATGGAAATTCCCTGAATTTCTGTGTCCCAAGAAGGTGCTTCACATGTTACAGAACATTCAAACACACTGACTTCAGTGGGGGGGACACAAATGCCGAGGAATCCCTCTCTCACTGAGTATGTATGCACATGTCACTTGCTAAGCCAGTCTCAAAACTGCATTTTAAAATACAGAATGATTTTACCTTTTTTTTTTTTTAATTTAACCTGCAGATTCAGTGGCAAAATTTTTCAGTGGGCTCTCGTGGCAATTAAAATTGCCTCTATGACAATGCTACATGGAGCCACAGAGGGGGCTGGACCATGGCCCACAGTTTGTGCGGGTGGGGAGGGAAGTCAGCTCGGTCAATGCCTTTTTCCATCCACCAATGGAAATGGATATGCACATACCGCTTTTCTGGTACAGCACTTCCCTCCT